GACCGACAACAACAAGAGAAAATGCTGTAGTCGATTATCACGACTATCAGATACCCGTTACTCAGCTAATGGAAGTGCGAACGAGTAATTTCAGCATTATCTGGAATATCGGTAGAAATTGGGGGAAAAAAATAGAATGAAAAAAAAAGTGTGGGGGTCACAGTTTTTGGCGTTGCCAAAAAGTTTTTTTTGGAAATCGATAGAAATTTAAAAAGCTAAAAAAATTTTACAAGACTAATAAAGAAACGAAAATATATCAAAACACTTTTCAAAAGTGTGGGTGTTGCAGTTTTAGGCGGTTTGTGGGCGGTGCATTTGGAAACAAACTTGCGTTGCGTCTATGTCTCTGGAATCCTCAGCCTTCTAGCTTTTATAGTTTCTGAGATCGAGGCGTTCATACATATGTGCATAGCCAGATCGACTTGGCAATTGATCGTGATCAAGAATATATATATGTCGAATTCTCTTCGTCTCCCATTAGAGCGCAGCGCGTTTCAAACTATTCACAGGCGATCACTCAAGCATACTGCCCTGCTCGTTTTCTAACAGCCTATACGAAAACTCGAACCACACTCGGCGGCAACGTCGCGACGCATCGTCGTGCAACTAGACAGGCGACGCGTCGTTCTCGCCCCGCTCCAACGGTACTTGCAGAAAAACGACGGACAACCACAATGCAAAGACGCAAAACATAATATGATGAAATAATTCAAGTTCATGCATAATCTTTATACTCCGACACGGCCATCCTGACTCTAACACGACCTCGTGTTCCATTCAATTGTCTTTTTTTTAAATTTTATTATTATTTATTTGTTTTTTGTTTTTATAAACAAAAGATTTAATATTTCCTTATCAAGTTAATTTCATAAAACAGTATCAAGCCTTCTTATCCAGTATCTTTACATAATTCTTACTATAATGTAATTTTTAACAAAATCAATTATTCTTCTTCATTCAACATTACAAACTCAATGCCCCACACGCCATGATCAAAACAAACATCAGTTTGTTTTGCACTTGTGCTTGCATTACTTATCTGGTCTTGTTACTCTGCCATTTTCTTTGGCCAGCAGTAAATCTTTCATCACCTTTATTGGTGTGCTTCACTTTCTTCAGTGGCTTCAACATTTTCATTTTCGCTCTCTTCCCACACATTCACCTCCTCGGGCACTTGCCCCTCTGGCATTTTTCTCAAATCTTCATGTGCATATTTATAATTTCTTTTATTGGTTAAGGACTTTAAAGTGTACCTGTCACCCTCCAGAACCTGTATTATTTCAAAAGGCCCCTTGAATTTTGGACTCAACTTGGTTTGATGCCTCTCTTCGCTTTTAAGTAGCACAAAATCTCCTACTTTGTGTCTAAGAACTTTTGCCTTATTTTTATCAAATCGTTCTTTGTCATAAACTGCCGTGGCTAAAACATTAATTTCAGCTTGTGCTCTTACATTTGACAGATCAACATCATTTTCTATGTCACCAGGTGGAAGTAATCCTAATGGGCGTGCTACCTTTCCCAATAACATTTCAAGAGGACCTGCCTTCGTCACACGGTTAGTTGTACAATTGATTGCCAACTGCACCTCCCCTAACACGTCCTGCCAAGACTGCGTTCCAGTTTCAACCGCCGTTAACATATTTTTCAAGGTGCTCATGGTTCGTTCAACTTGACCATTAGCTCGGCTAGCCCCGGTGGCAATCAAATGCAAGTTTATTTTCTGATCTGAACAGAATTGACTAAACTTTGCACCCGTAACACACCTTCCCTGGTCAGCTATTATTCGGTTTGGTACTCCAAACAACTCTCACTGTCTAATTTAAGGCTATGACTAAGATAGACATACTTGGTAAAAGCGTCTACTTGAACAATAACATACTCCTTCTGGTCACTCTTGCCACTAAATTTCCCTGTTATATCGATGTGGATAGTGTGCCAAGGAATATTGACTTTTGGGATTGGATGCAATTCGGCCTGAATTTTTCCTGAGTTTGATTTGGACATTTTGCATGTGATACAATTGTCAACAAATTTTCTAACATATTTTGACATATTGTCAAACCATTAAAAATCGTAAACTTTATCTAGTGTCTTTTCCCAACCTAAATGCATTATTGACTCAATTATATTGTTGACAATTATTGACTCTTATTATAACAGACCATTTGAAGGAACGCCGTATCACTGGTAAACAGCGTGTTCTGCCATTTCTCTGTATTTTTCGGTAAAGAACTTCTGCCCTTAGTTCATAGGTTTTCGCAATATCTTCAGCAAGAGAACAATTTTTTAATTTGCTCACGATTTCGGCTATGTCCGAACAAAAATAACAAGGACTGGTTTATCAGTAAGAGTAGAAATAACCTTTTTCCGTATCTGTTCATGTTCCACTCTTCAAATAAATTTATTTTTGTCTGACGTTAAAAAATTTAACGGTTTCATCAACTGTGAAAATAAACTGTTTGAAATAAGTTGCTAATCCAATAAATTGCCTAATAAATTGCCTCCAATAAATTGACTTTGGAGGCGGGAGAGCAGTCAACACAACAATTTTCTGAGGGTTTGGGCGAATTTCGCCAGCACTAGCATTGTAGCCTAAATATTGAACCGATGTTTTCAAGAAGGAACACTTCGTAATGTTGAATGAAAACCCGGCCTCTGTCAGAACATCTAGAACAATTTGTAATCTTTCTAACGCCTCACATTGTGTTGATGCAGTTATCATGATGTCGTCCATATAGACGATAACATAAGAATTTGCAAGATCCCCGAGCGCTTGCAATACTAAACGTTGAAATACCGACGGCGCATTTTTAAGCCCGAAAGGCATAGATAAAAGCTCATACTGACCACTAGTAACCACTAGCCATATCTAAACATGTAAAATAATAAGCTCCTCGAAGTCTACTTATTTGATCCTGTATAAGTGGCAGAGCGACTGTGTTTGAATTTAACTCCCTATAGTCAACACAAAGCCTATCCGAACCATTTTTTTCTTTACATCTTTCTTTTTGGATGTTTTGCTCCCATCAGCTTCCTTTTTTGCACATTGGGTAGATATGTGACCCTGTTTACCGCACTTGTAGCAAGTTACACTTGATTTTCCGCGTTGATGACCATCGTGTCTGTCATGTCGTTCTTTGTCGTTGGCAAACTGATTTTGTTGTTTCCTAAATCTGCATTCAATCATTTTGTGTCCGAATTTTCCGCAGAAATGACACTCTATAGATGACTGCTTTTGCCGTTTAGAATAAGTTTCTGTTTTTTGCTCCGTGGAACCATTTTTCCGTTTATTAAAAGTGAACGCATTCAATTCGGACTGTAAATCGCCTCTGGTTCGAACATTTCATGTAAAACTTAAACGCTGCAAACGGTTATCAACATTTGCCAGCAACGCGAGAGTGACGGACACAGCAATTTCTTCCGTTTCCATTTGGCACCATTTCGTCGTTAGTTCTGTTACCACTGCGGCTTGCATGGACTGCAAGACATTCGCCGTCAGTCGGTCGTTTAGACAACATACTTAGAAACATGGCGGCTGGTGTTTCTGTAGTGTCAAAGCGATGGATAAACAGTTCTTTAAACTCGAGCCAGGTCATGTCAACGTAACACACTTGGGAGAGCCATTGCGAAGCGCTGCCCTCTAGTGCTGAACTTAATGCCACTACCAGCGCGCTGCCTTTTAATGCAATTTCTTTCAAAATAATTTCAACGGTGTTACACCACGATGAAGCGATTGCGCCTGCCTTGTCTGGGTTGAATTTGGGTAGTTGCACCGCTTTACTTTGCCCCGCATCAGATGCCGTTGTTTGTATGGCCCGCACAAGTTCAATTAAATTTGTATTTTGTAGTTCCATAATAGTACGCCATGGTCCATCTACTGTTGAAGGTATAGGGCCCGATCCCACTTCTGATGTCGAATTCTCTTCGTCTCCCATTAGAGCGCAGCGCGTTTCGAACTATTCACAGGCGATCACTCAAGCATACTGCCCTGCTCGTTTTCTAACAGCCTATACGAAAACTCGAACCACACTCGGCGGCAACGTCGCGACGCATCGTCGTGCAACTAGACAGGCGACGCGTCGTCGTCACCCCGCTCCAACGGTACTTGCAGAAAAACGACGGACAACCACAATGCAAAGACGCAAAACATAATATGATGAAATAATTCAAGTTCATGCATAATCTTTATACTCCGACATATACTTTAAACGTTACGTACTTTTTAACTAGTGTGCTAGCTAGTGTATCCTTTTAATCTATGGAGTGTAAAGGGAATTCTTCTATCCCCTGAACCCAGAAACCTGAGCAGCCCTTGAACTTTCCCTAGTGGAACACAAAACTAGAATTATTGAATAATATATTATTAATGAAAATCTCATTTACTTTAAACATATTAATGAACAATACCCAATAGAAATCAAATCAATCATAAAAGTGTATAAAAACAAACTTACATAAAGCAAAAATTCGACAAGCTAAAAATGAAAATAAAGTCTGCCGATATGATTTACCACCTAATAATGATTAATGATTTTTGGAAACTTTTAAATTTTTTGCTTTAAATAGCTTGAACGGGAACACACCAGATTACAAGAAAACAAATTTCTTATTGCTAAAACACACAACATAGTTCAAGCATAAACAAAAAATAAAGTTATTGGGGCTATCCATTATTTCAAGATAAAATGAAAACCCATATTATAAAAATAAATTTTATTTTCTGTTAAACAGCTCGATAAGAGAAACTGTAGGTCTACATCTTTATGAGAACCTCACATAAAGTTGAGGAAAACTAATATGAAAACTAACATGTATTTATACCCGTTATTCGTAGACCAAAAGGCTATAATAGATTCATTGAAAAGTATGTAACAGATATAAGGAAGCGTTTCCTACATTATAAAATGTATATATTCTTTATCAGGATGGCCATGTCCGTCCATCTATCTGTCCGTATGATTGTCATGATCTTGGGAACCAAAAATGAGGCAAGTAGAGTCTGGTGACGTAAGTTTGTTTCCGAGCGTTGCCATGCCCACAAACCTCTAACAGCTGCTACGCCCATACTATGGATTTTTTTTTTTATGTGTTTGACTAACGCCTACTCCACTTTTGGAAAACCCAACTAGTTTTTTGGGAAACCAGCTTTGAATGTCTAAATTTCATACGCTCATAACTTTAGAACACCTGACACTATGTACTGTGCTATATGTCGCTGAAACTCTGTTAAACGTAGATCAGGTGTCAAAACCATGTGCAGTTGTGCAAATAGAAAAGAAAATACAATATCTTAAATTTATTATTTTCATAAAACGCGCTGAATGACTAAATTTGGTGAGTTTAATTTAATTACCTCGTTATTTGTTTTATGATCAAAGTGCTAAAATTATAGACAATACCAAACCACATTGGTATTTCAGGAAATTAATTGGCCGATGACGTAGCAAAAGCAGTCACAAATTCCCCATATTAACCCCAGGATCCTATAAACTCCACTTTCAACTGATAACAACACATTCAACAGGTAACAGTTGCGGTCAAAATAATGGTAGTGCCGGTGAAGGAACACGCTATTTCTCATTATTTCCTCTATTCCTTCACATATTTTAATAATTTTTTCACTATTTGTGTGAAAAATTGTAATTATTATAATTGTAACTGTAATTATCTATTCTCTAAGAATGTAAAGTTTTGTTCGGTTCTCTTCTTGTTTTACGTTCTTCAATTTCATAGATTCACTTGTTTGACCTAGTCAAAATAATAGTAGTGCCAGATAAATTGACATGAATAATTAAATTTAATTGCTTTTTAGCCAGGACTTTGGTATTTAACAATACTCTTGTGTTTTTTTTACCAGTTCACACCATTTTTAGATGGTGTTTAGATGGTACTCAATGAAGAGTATTGATATTTAGTACCGAGTCTAGGGGGCGTGGCAAACACTGTGTGAATTAATAAGATAGCAATCTCAGAAATAAATCCGAGCAATAGCTTTGAACTCTGGGAAGCTGTATAAAGGTCTTGGAACTCTATTCCTGTAAAGAGATGCCAGAATTTGGTTGATTCCATGCATAAGCGCTGTGCGTCCATGATTGCAAACAAAGGACATTCAACAAAATAATCAAATAAACATTAAAAATAGGGCTCTTATATAGATTTAATCATTTAAACTTAAAATGTTTTATTGCTGTTTAAAAAATGCACTACTATTATTTTGAACGATCAAATTTAGGTAGAAATTTCACATATTAATTTCTTTCTGAAGTCTTATGAATTATCCAAATTATCTACGATGAGTTAAGTTTCATTAAAAATAAAAACAAAATTTGTGAACACGTTTTGAAAGGAGTTTTTTTGGATTCTTTGAAAACCTCTGTGGGTACTACTATTATTTTGACTGCAGCAGTATGTATGTATTAAAACAAGCTTAGAATAGCTGACAACAATAAGAGTTCAATGTTATTATAAATACCGCAAATCGTGCAAACAAATAAGATAAACCCCTGTAAACAAATTCTTCCAACCACCATCTATTCAATGCCACTTTTGCAATAACATACATATGTATGTATATTAAACATCATACAGACGAATACATAACCTGCTATTACCAATTTTCTATAGTTGCTCAAAAATGCCATAAGTTATATCATATTAATTTGAAGAGATATTAAATACCTCATAAATACTGAAATACATAAGTAACATTGTTTAAGCTAATTAGTTAGAACTCGCGAATGAGTATGAATAAGTAATGAGTCAATGAGTCAGAATAAGTAAATCTTAGAAATATGTATGTATTGATATGCATCTCATAGCCACTGCAGTGTACAAATGTTTAAAAAGGAAAGTGATTCCTCCTTGTTTAAAATATTTTTTCGAAAGTAATCGTAAAACACTAAAATAATTACCTTGTGTATGTTTACAAATCCATCCGTAGAATTAGTTTTATTTCTTTGAAGATTGCTCATTTTTTTAGTAATAATTATTTCTGGTAAAATTTGACTGAATGTTTTTTGCTTTTCTCCATTAATTTCTATAGAACCCTCCAAAGGTATAACCTTTAATACTATATTAGAGACGTGTTTTTCCAATCCTTTCTGATATTTTGAACAACGAAATACTTCTCCATAAGCCCCTTCACCTATTTTTTTAGTATTCAACAATTTATGTTGTTCATATGCGGCAATAAACGGAAGTGGTATACACTGATCGCAATATTTCAGAACTTCTTCCTCGAATTTATCTTCAAATTTTTGTTCGCCTTTTAAAACTAATGACTTTCGATCTTGGCATATTGAGCTTCGTGCTACTTTTTTGCTGAAAGTTATTTCAGTTATTTTTGTTCGAATAAAATTGTTCAGCGATTTTCGCCACTTTCCCGGCTTTAATACGATCGAAGGGTGCACAACAGTATCCATCTTATTTGACTTACTCAATCGCCGTTTTCCGAAATTAGAACATTTATTTGGGCTAGCATTTATGTTTAGAAATGGTATTTTCAAATATACATTTGAATTCGCGTCTTTAGTATCAGGGCATTTGTCACTACTGGCTTCAAAACCTTCAAGATTTAAGCGAGTTATTGGAGAGAGGCCGCAATTAAATAAAGCTGCGCCCAATCGTTTATCGCAAGGAGTTGATATAGAATCACTGGGACAATACATTTCTTTTGAGCTATCTGGTTCGTTTTCGTGATTTGATCCCATTATTTCAATGTAGCTGCTATTTTCAACACTGGAGTCAATGTTATAGGGTACTCTTACAGTTTGTTTAGCAATATTCATTTTACGCAGTTTCCTAGAAGCAAATCTATTATTTCAATTGTAATGAATTAAATGGGTTTACTCTTACGTATTGGAGTCTAACAGTTCATCAAACGGATCCTTAAATTTACTTTCCTCTAAGGAATTTTCCATTTTTGTTTTGCCAATTACTCTTATATTTTAAATTTTAAAATCATTACGATAGATATTTAATGTTTCGATAACAGCCGTGATCGATAATGACATTTTTAGATTATAGGGTTGACCCACCGACATTCATATAATTAGGAATTTATATGAATTTTCTACTTTTTATGCCCGTTTACTTGGGACCTAATAACTAAAGAACGTAATTTAAATAACATATAAAACTTGTTTTTTTTTTTTACCAATATAACTTTATGATAGATTTATTACACAATAAATCCAAATAATACATTCGAATTAACTCAAAACAGCTGACACATTGCAGTACCTCGAGTTATATTCTGCGTTGTCTTCGATATCGATAAAATACAAGTGTTGGCTTGTGTCCTCCTCACATATATGTACATATGTTTAAAAAATCAAAATCATATACATAAATTGTATACATGTATAAACGGGTAACGCCCTCGAAAGTATTGTAATTTAAATATTCTGGTACAGCCTTTCACCAAGTGCTTGTAACACGGGAAGTATGAAAGAAATTGAAAAAAGCTATATAATCACAATCGGAAATTCGCTATTGAAGGAAATAATAATTTCAAAATGATTATTTTTCGACAGAACACGAAGGAAAAGAATTGAAATAAAGGGATAATACTGGTGTTCTCATATTTTACATTTAGAAGAATTTTTGTAATACACTAACGAAAATAAGTTAAAGCTTGACGCTGGTTCATGTTTCTCAATCAGAAAGAAGTGTTCCCGACTATAAAAGCTAGAAAGTTGAGATTAGGCATGCAATTTTGTTAGGCAATTTTGTTAAAAGACGTTGCCAAGCAACATTTTCATTTTTAATTGGTCTTGAAAATTCCAAATATTCCAGAAAATGAAGAAATTTATGGTTCGCACTTTCACTAGCTTAGTAACTGGTATCTGATAGTCGGAAACTCGACTATAGCATTCTATCTTGTTTTCAAATAAGGAGTTGGATGTAGTTATTTGCATAACGTTTTAATGTTCCATTGTATTATTACTAGGATCCTTTAATAGGTGGATTTGGTTTTTGTTATGAGTTTTGTTCACAGAAGTATAAAGGGTTCCTTCGATTGAGTGTTTTTGTTCTAAGCAATTTGCACACGTCCCTGAGCTTTTGCATTTGAGTGCTAGATGAACGGAATGGGAGGCATTTTTTGCATCGAAGTGGGAAGGAATGTAGTCTCAATTTCCGGTTGGTTGTGTGTTTCAAATATTGTTATAAATAGTCCGGTCTCGACCAAGAACAATATCACGTTCTCTGTTGGGGTGGTGTTGTTGCTTTGTTTTTTTCATATCATATTATTCATATTATATATCGGGTCTTGATCCTGAGGTCCGGATCCATGTTCACTCGGATCTCCCTGGCATGTTTTCCATCGGATTTTCATGGCTACCGGATCATCTTCTCATCTTTTCCTCCCAAAATAATGGACTCTAGCACTTCATCATCATTATAATATTTACTTATTTGACCATTTTAAACCACTTTTACTAATTAAAAATTTTGTTTTAATTTTAGTATTTCATCGCCGTTTGCCGAAGCAAAAATTTAACCAAAGCGACGCAAAAATCAGGAAGATGACGCCACGAAAATATTGTACGGGTATGCGAATATATGTAAATATATATATATACATATATGTATATGGAATGGAATAATTCAACGTTCACTTTCATTTCATAGTTGCCTGCCTATTTGAAGCTCCAAGCGGCTGAGACGGGTTGAATGGCTTTTATTCAATACTCCCCACATAAGATCGGTCTCCTCGAGGATATATATACGTTGTATATATGTTGTATAAATTAGATTTTTAAGATTAATTTTGTTGCTTGGACTCCCTGCGATTTGTTTTACATTTTGCTTTTAGTTGTGTTTTTTGTTAAATATATGTATGTATTTGTTAAATATTAAATGAATATTGCCGCATCAATTTTTTTTGTATTGGTTTTTCTGCGGGATTGGGCTTAGCCTTCGAGGTTAGGATCGACGTGGGTATCTGGATCAAGGAAAAAACTCTCCTGAGTGCAGAAAGGAACAATTCCGGCTACAAAAGAGGCTATCCCGGGTCCGCTGGAAGGCGGTTCTGCCCCTCTGAAACCCAGGTAAATTTTCTTATTCCTATTTCTAGGTTCCATTCGGAACGGACTCACGTTTGCCTTCTTTCATTACTCTCCCATAGGTCGAGAACCAACTCCAAGGCCAGCGCATCGCTCCTATCATAGTGTGCGTGGATGCACTCTATCAATGTTTTACCCCTCCCGGACTACCAACCTCGCCTACTGGGTCAGATTTCCCTCTTTTAGTGCTCATTCCGGACGATATTTGTTTCACCCGCGGCTATCGGTCACCGTTAGAATGCAATACTCTTTTAGGGAAGTTTAGTGCTTTGTTTAGCCTTTGTTCTGTCAATGTTACTTCGATGTCTGAAATTTTCGATACTTTTAAAAGCTTTTTGGCTTGTACCTTTTGGTTTTGATCAAAAGTGTTACGTCTGCGTTTTTTTATATGCATCAACTTTTCCTCAAGAATCATGATCTACTGATTTCTTAATTAAAAACGTTAAAACTGTTTTGAATGTATTACCGTTTTTGCTTATATCAATGTTAAGGTAGGCATATTAATGTTCTTGCCTGGAGAAGGACTTGGTCCGAGGGAAATGCACCCTATGTTCAGTTACCTATGTCAGCGTAAGCTCCTCGTATTCGAGGCGTGGGATCTTGGTAAGCCTCTTACCTCTCTAACATAACGAGAATAAATATTATAAGTGCCCGTAAAATAACTAGGTTTGTACCGTTCGTCAGTTGTCAGTGCTTACTGCCCTAAAAGCTCAGGGCACAAAAACACATAAAAAAAGAAATATCAAATATTATACAAGAAAAAACAAAAATAAAAAATCTTCTTATGTCAAAGTTGTACACAAAAACACAGAAAAAAAGATACTGCTTTTCTTATTCATTTATAGATGGAAAAACAAAAAAAACATAATAAGGGTCTCAAAGGGTCGCTGACCTAGCGCAAAGTTAATCAGTGTCCGTCTTCGCCTTTCAAAATGTTCTTTAAAAACAACTTGCTTATTATCATTAGTTAATTCGGAACTACCTTTAAACAGCTAAAAAAATCTATTTTGAATTGTTCTGATCGATACGTATCGATATTGCCTCAGAATATGGAAGTTTCAAAATTTAATTTAGGAAATTGTGGAAGAGATGCCTTTCGCGAAGACGCTAGAATATATAATAAATATAAAGAGTGAAAAGTCGAGTAAGCAGCGGAGTAAACCTGACTTACTGATCTGTGGTGTAAGATACGAAAAAGAAATGATGATTTAAAGGCATTAATGTCAGTGAAAAAATAAACGAGTATATTATAAAAAACAAGAGAGAATGCTATAGTCAATGCCATAGTCAGATAGTGGAAGTCCGAAAGAGAAATTTCCGCATGTTCTGGAATATCGGTAGAAATTGGAGATAAAATAATAAAATGATAAAAAACTTAAAATATTTTTTTAAAAGTGTGGATTCGTGACAGTTCTGGGAGTTTGTGGGCGGCATGGCAAATGTATATAAAATACAAAATAAGAAATCAAAACACATCACAACAAATAGAAATGGAAAAAGCTCCATTACCACTACCATATCCATCAATCCCAGCCAGTGACGTATTTGCGCCACCCAAGCCGGCTAATTTAATTATTTCAAAGAACTAATCCAACCCGATTCGTAACTTCTTTTATTTGACAAAACTTTAATTACAGCGTTGGTCAAAAGTATTTACACAACGAGCTTTTTTTTCAATTGAATTGACAATTGACCACCTCTGTATGTCGACGATCGAATACTATAGTCAATAGGTATAGTTATTATTTTTAAGTGAACTAGAATTCGTGAACAAGTCCGAATGTTAAAGTATGCCCAAATGTGTCTGGGCATACTGTTTTCGCCAGTAACTTCCCGGGAAAATGAAGCTTTTCATTGTCGAGCGAAAAGTAGGACACACTGCGGTGAGCTTACTTAAGTACTTACTAATGTCCGAGGTTAAACTTATTCTTCAAATGAAAACGAGCATACTACCAAGAAATAGTATGCCCATTTCTTCGGGATCCACAGTGTGGAGTAGCTATTTATGGCATCTTTGAACGCGCGACAACAAGATATATATAAATAAGTATATATACTTATACACATATATTACTTTATTAAAAAATAATAGGTAGAAAATAACTTCACTATATTATATATATTCTATATAATATATATGTTTTAAAAAGGAGGGAAATGCATATATCGCTGTAGCGAGTACCCTATACCAATAGCAACATTTAATTACAGTGTATTTAAGTGAACATTAAAACCTGGCCATAAAACTCGAGTGGCTCGCGAAATACGATCTTCCAGCCACGCAGTACAGTCAAATGTACAGCCAACTTGACAAATTTACAACTACCGCATTAATTTAACTAATGACCATCCATGCCTATAAAAAACCACTTACTTTTTTGTATTTAATGTCTAATTTGGAATTCTATATTATTTTTAGAGTTATGTTACGACATTAAACGGTTGGATAAGCCGTGACCAACCGCCGAGCTGCCCTAATGACAAGAAATGTTGACAAGCTTTTAGAAAAAAAATTAATAAATTTTAATTATATTTTCATAAATTAATTGAAAGGAATTGCTGAACAAATAAATAATTGTTTAAGTGTTATGATCAATTTTAACTTTAAAAAATAAGCGCACGTTTCGCATCTTTCATGTTTCAAAATTTATGAAAACATTAATGTATGGTTTCCAATTTTTTTTGTGTGTCAATGTAGCGCCTTTTAAATAGCAATTGAAAAAGGAACGGTGATAATTGTACATGGTAGTAGTGCTGCAGATTCATTACCAGATTCGTTAAAAGAGAATAAATTGAATCGTTGCCAAGTCGATGTGACCATGTCCGTCAGTATCTCGGGAACTATAAAACCTATAAACTAAATATGATTCGTGCCTTATTGCATGGGCCAAACTTATAAAATTTATTATGCATTTAAAAAAAAATTGAATAATTGTGCCGCCGTTTTCTTTTTCACGCGCACTCTAGCACTCAACCCGCAGTCACGCCGAAATTTGGAGAAATGTTTTGAACCTGTTGTATAATATCATTTTTCTTGTCACAAATGTTGACCCAAAATAAAAACTACTCAAATTTTATATCCTTGATCATCTTAGAAATTTTGTCTTCTTCTTTCTTTTATTGTAAACATAGAACTGGTGATGAAACGCATAACACACGTAGGTGTAAATTTAAGAGTGACATGAATATATCGTTTAAAAATAATGTCAACATAAGTTTTAAAATAATATTATAACACAATATATATATATAATATACAGTTACCTATACAAATAAGTTTGATGTAGCGATCCAACAATTTTGGGAATACCCTATTTATTTTAGTATTTGGCCTAATGTTACCGTTCGTTGTTTATAGATTCAACCCCATTTTTGTTATTGCACTTGATTGGGAATGTATAAATGCAATACATCACCTAAGAAAACTTCCCTCCATTTGATAAAGAAACGCAAAAAAAATATACTGCACTGGTTGAAAGAAAGCTTTACAGTCAAACCGATACATTCGAATCGCAAGTAAATTTGTTCGCGATTGTGAAATAGTGAGTTGTGTGTGTACTTTATCATGCGTGATAGTATATGTTTTACTGTCAACAGGACATCCTTAGACTATTCTGCTCAGATTATTTGACGTGGGATTGTATTTATCTAAGAAAGTATTGAAAACTAAAAGAACGCCAATAATGCGAAATACATTTCAAGCCGCTTTTAGGGGCTTAACGCGACAATACATTATAAGGCAGTCGTGGCCCTGTGGTAGAGAGTTGAGGGCGCAACTGATAATCCCGCCGTCTTCTACATCTAGCCCATTTAAATGCCGGAACTACTCAAAGTTTAGCAACCATCTGTCCACGGATCGGGCGATGGAGCTGCTATGCAACCTTGATGATGAGGAACGCAGCAACCTGCGTTCCGCTCTTGACAGGCTAGATGCCGACAAGGAAAAAAAGTTGTACGAGAGTAAGTTATTCTCAAAATAAATTTTTTATTTTACTTGACTTATTTTACTTGATAAACGTAAGGGTATTTTTATATCAACTATTTTCAAAACGAAAAACATAACAAGATTTAAAACTTAATATATATAAGCCCACAATATTGCAAACGCTTGTTTATAAAATATTATTTTAATACCTATACATATTTTACAAAATATGAATTTCCTAACTAAACGTGATAAAATTGAAGAAAAACGAAACACACGCTGCGATCAAACAATATTACCAAAACAAAATTTTTCCATTTTTAATTTTTTTTTGTTTAAAAGCACGATTTGAGAAACTTTAGTTCCACTACTTTTAGAAAATCGAGCTAATTTTCCTAAATAACCTAAGTCCTCCTTCCTGAACAGCTGGCTAGAGACTTGTTGAAGCATTTTCAAATCTTTGTTTTTAAACAAATTTTGTCTTAATATAACAAATAACAAAATAAAACAAAAAAATATGCCCAAAAATAAAAAAAATTATATTTACCCTTTTTGGTGAATAAAAAACATTTGACTTTCTTTGAGTGTGCTAGGAAAGGGATAAATAAACTCGCTTTTGACGGCTTCCCCCTTTTAAAAGCATCGATGACGTCATACGTTTCCCTGTATAATTTATAACCAATTTGTTATCGAGTTAACAAAGCAAATGCTAGTGATCTGCTTCTTTTTGACCAGCTCCTGCAGGGCGGCGAATGCGTCACTCATATTCAGCGTAAAAGTGTTTGCTGAGTTTGTGAGGTCTACTTTTATTTTTACATTTCCAAATTAAAGGCAAAGGTTAACTTAAAGTGTACGTTTCAGTGTTGCGCACTGCGACTGAAAATTATAAATCTATTGTCAATTAAAAAATTGGTAAAAATATACATATATGGTAAAAAGAAACCTTTCCTGTTATTTTTAGCTGAAGCACCAAGCTGATAAACACAGAAGACTTAATGCTGGTTATTACCAATTTTCCTAATTTTAAAAGCTGTCTTAGCTATATGCTAGCTAGCCAGTCTGTATGTGCCTCTTGTGTTTTGCCATCCATCCCTACATTCACGGAGATATCTTTGGATAAACCCTGAAAACGACAAGTTTTGAACAAATACTTTTCATTTATCTTTACAAATATTATGTGCATTAATATTCTTAATAATAGTTGCATATATCATATGTCGTTATCCTGATCATTCAAACCAGGATCAATATCCGTGTCAATCTGGCCAAGTCTGTCTGTCCGTATGAACGCTGTGGTCTCCGGAACATAACGGATAGAAAGTTAGGTTAAGACATGCAGATTCTAGCGGTCACTCCTACTCTAATTACCACAAAACTGCCACGCCCACACTTGTAAACAATTTTTTAATTTTTTTATATTTATTTGTCTTGCCAATTTCTATCGCCAGTTCATCAATTTTGTTGAAATTTCTCCCTAGCACTTTCACTAGCTGAGGAACGTATATCTACTTCTTTTAGTCTAAGTCAGTGTGTTATAATGATTTCGTTGAATTGAGGGTAGAAGGTGAACTTTTGATCATTCTGGCATGCTCGTTTAGTAACGCTAAGTCTGCAGCCGTACTGCTCCCAAATCGATTAGAAACGTTGGGTGATAAGCAATATGAAAACATGTCTCCTACCATAACGAATGCATTCGGGGGATAAAGACAGAATACCCGAAAATAAATTATTTCGTGTATGTTGAAATAGTGCACTAGTTTTTGTGGCCGAACCAGTGATGATCTAGATAGCAAAAGCTCCAAACTAAAATAAATTGACACAAGGCTCGGTGTAGCAAGCGAGCTCAGCTAAGCTTAAGGTGGATTAAAGCTGGTAATATGCCCTCAGCGGTACCTTTACAGTTTATTAGTCTTGGGCTATTGAAAAATCATCTAAGGCGTACAAAACACGCTACTGTTAGGCAGCTCACATGATACACATCATTACGCAGCCTTCACGAAAATAACTTAACTTTTCCTATGATCAGCAGTTAATAAAAGGTTCGGAAAAACACTACTATTGGTCACAAAATTTTTTTAGAAAGCGTGCATACAATCATAATTAACCTTTTTTTAAGACCCATACAACAAATCTGCACACATTCACTTTCTCTTTTTACATGCTTTCCGCGAAGGCGTTCCTCGTTTCACCAACCTTTATGCTTTCGTCATCTGGTCACACTATTTTCCTTTATCGGTTACCTCCAACTTTCTATGTCTTCAGGTTGGTTCGGCGTTTCCACTTCGTAGTATCGGTTTTTTTTTAACAGTTATTCCTTGATGTCTCCAGGTCCAAAGTCCAAGGTTTTACCTTTTTCCTGGTCTAAAGTTCACCTTGGTACCGTTGCTTCCTTGAACTAAGCATGCTGACCATTTCCTCATGACTAGGTTTAAACAGAAAGATTCCAGCACCTTTTGTAAGTTTTGATCTTGTTCATTAGACCTACTCTTACGAACTCCGAGGATAAGATTATAAAATAGATCAATCTCGATTTTGCATTGAGATAATGTCCATTTGTCCATTTAATCTACATTTGGTTCGGTTTTCATTATATTTTTCTTCTGCGGCTCAAAATGCAATGGTTCATTTCTCATTTTCGTTTTGTTTGGCCATTATTTTGTTTTGCAATTAATTGAATTTAATTTCCTCTTTGAATATTGCACTTCTCCGTTTATATTCTTTTAATTTTGATTATGATATTTGGGTACTACTTTCACGTGTGTTTCACCATTATACGTGATATTTTCTAGAACATGATGGTGTTCCCGATCGCTCCGTATTTAAACTAGTCAGGGACTTTCGTTAGTAAGAATTCTTTTGATGTCTGTCCATACAGAATATTCTAATACTGTCGGCTAATTCCGCCGACTCTGTTTTACCGACTGGTTCATTTTGGCAATTGCCGGTGTATAATTACTATGGGAAGTTACGCGCCGATAGGTCGAACCAGAGCTCTTCCCAGAACCAGCGTAGCAAAACACCCGGAAGCGCACGTCTGTTCTGACAGCTCGTGTCACAGAATACCAATAAAGGGCTCCATAATCCCATTCTCACCACGCCAGGAACTTATCGTCTCCTCCTTTACCACCCGCATATTTTTTTGAAAACCTCAGCCTTGTAGACTATCTCGTCGTTGGTGGACTGCTTGACGTGTTCTACTGTACTGGTATACCTCGCGTACGCCTTCGGACTCTGTCGGAATGTCTGGCCTGTCCCCTTCTTGACTATCCTCGTGCAGGTGTTCATCTGACCGCCCAAACCGCACTTGCGTCGGCCGTTTCTAGACCGCGGCGATCCCGTTATTTCCCTTTTTGCGCGCGTTCCGCTCGTTTCCAAGATTCTGCGAGGTCGCTCCGCTTTGCTTGGGTCCAACGTACACTGTTTACCATTTGACTGCCCGCATTCCCGCCTTCTGCGCTGTATATTGTTATTTTGATTGGCAAGAATGCCATGCAAATAACTAAAAATC